CCTTCAGATCAGGCTCCAAGTGAAACTAGTGTGCATTGTCATGACTGCTGGAGTATTGCAGCTCTCTACTTTAAATTTTGCCGGGACTGTTGGTTTGGTATGACCCCTCAAACTTTCTGAAGCAGTTTTCTTTTTGTATTAATGCTATCTTATCCAAGAATTAGGTTCTATTTGGAGATGCTATTTACTTTTATTTTTGCAGGACTGAGAGTTGACGATCCCCGGACGCTTATTAGCTATTTCGTGGTGTTCATGCTTGCCTGTTTCAAACTTCGGGCTGATCACATATCTAGTTTCTCAGAGTCATCGACATATCATCAGATGAAGTCTCAAAGAAAGAACTCATTTGTCTGGAGAGATCTCTCCTTCGAAACAAAGAGCATGTGGACCGTGCTTGATTACCTGAGGCTTTATTGTTATGTTCATCTGCTGGATGTTGTGCTTATTCTGATTCTAATCACAGGAACTCTCGAGTATGACATTCTACACCTGGGTTATCTTGCATTCGCTCTTGTTTTTGCCCGGATGCGACTTGAAATATTGAAGAAGAGAAACAAAATATTCAGGTTCTTGCGGGTGTACAATTTTGTTCTCATCATCTTTTCGCTCGCATATCAGTCTCCATTTGTTGGAAATTTCAATGATGGAAAGTGTGAAACGGTTGATTATATTTACGAGGTGATTGGATTTTACAAGTATGACTATGGATTTCGAATCACTGCAAGATCTGCTCTCGTGGAGATCATCATATTTATGCTAGTATCTCTTCAGTCCTACATGTTTTCCTCCCAGGAGTTTGATTATGTCTCGCGGTATCTTGAAGCAGAGCAAATAGGTGCTATTGTGCGGGAGCAAGAGAAAAAAGCAGCACGAAAAACCGAGCAACTGCAACAAATTCGTGAGGCTGAAGAAAAAAAACGTCAGCGGAATTTGCAGGTGGAAAAGATGAAATCTGAAATGTTGAACCTGCGGGTACAGCTTCATAGAATGAATTCTGACTCTAATTTTGGACTTGCTTCCCCGCGCACTGAAGGTCTAAGGAGGAGGAGGAGTCCGTATCTAATACCAGATAGTGGTGCAGCCAGTCCTGAGATTGACGGAGTGGTCCGCAGGAACGAAGACCAGCCTATTGACGAGGATCCACAGTATCCTTTTGAATCTCATGAGCTTCCTATGAGTACCACTCCAGAAGCACCAGATTCTCCAGAGTGTTCGTTCGGCGCATCTCCTTGTGAGATCACTGAAGTTCAACAGGATCTTGATGTGATGTCTAAGGAACGTGAAAGAAAGGAAAAGTCAGAGGGAAAAGATAATCCGTTAATTTCTGCGGTGCAACTCATCGGTGATGGTGTTTCCCAGGTACAGTTTATTGGAAACCAGGCAGTGAATAACCTTGTAAATTTCTTAAACATCTCGCCGGAAAATTCAGATATAAATGAGCAGTCATCTGTTGATGATGAGGTGTATGATGAGATGGAAAGTCAGAAAAAAATACACAAACCTTTTGAACGGTCAACATCTCTACAATCTGACAGGAGTAGTGATGGCACTAGCTTTCAGATAGGAAGGATACTTCGTCATATATGGTCTAGGATGCAATCCAACAATGATATTGTTTGCTATTGCTGCTTCATTATTGCGTTTCTATGGAACTTCAGTCTTCTTTCCATGGTCTATCTAGCAGCATTGTTCCTATATGCCCTCTGCGTTCACACTGGCCCTACTCACATCTTCTGGGTCATCATGCTAATGTACACAGAAATCTATATCCTCCTCCAGTATTTATACCAGATTATAATCCAACACTGTGGGTTGAGCATCGACGCACCTCTTCTTCATGAATTAGGATTTCCAACGCAAAGAATCAAATCATCTTTTGTTGTCAGCTCGTTGCCTCTCTTCCTTATTTACATATTTACTCTCATACAGAGTGCTATAACTGTGAAAGATGGTGATTGGGTTCCTTCTGCTGATTTCACTTCTCGCCGGAATGCCCGTGGGAGCCAGAAGGACCTTACAAGAATTAGCTGGAGCCATAGAATCTTGGATGTGTTCAAGAAGCTAAGAGACTGTGGGAAACTGGTGATCAGAAGCATCTGCCGGTACTGGATCTCTCTGACACGTGGAGCAGAATCCCCTCCTTACTTTGTTCAGGTGACGATGGATGTTCATATGTGGCCTGAAGATGGAATTCAGCCTGAAAGAGTTGAATGCAGAATGAATCAGTTGCTTAGGCTTGTTCATAATGAGAGATGTGAGAAGGGAAACCCTGATCTTTGTCCTTACTCTAGCAGAGTTCACGTACAAAGTATAGAGAGAAGTACAGAGACCCCAAACGAAGCCTTGGTTGTTCTCGAGGTTGAGTATGCTTCTCCCACGAATGGGTGTTCTTCAGCAGAATGGTACAAATCACTTACCCCAGCCTCGGATGTGGCGAAAGAAATTCGTAAAGCTCAATATAGTGGACTTGTTGAAGGAACTGGGTTTCCGTACCCCATTCTCTCTGTGATTGGCGGAGGAAAGAGAGAAACAGACCTCTATGCCTACATTTTTGGTGCTGATTTGATGGTCTTCTTTCTGGTTGCCATTTTCTACCAATCAGTCATTAAAAATAAAAGCGAGTTTATCGATGTATATCAGCTAGAAGACCAGTTCCCATTTGACTTTGTCATTATTCTAATGGTAATCCATCTCTACATGTCTCGTTTATCTGTTTGTGTATCAGTCCTTAACCCAGTGAAACGCTTTTGTGGCAGGTTATCTTCTTCCTTATTGTTGTTGATCGCGTAATCTACCTTTGCTCATTTGCGACTGGAAAAGTGGTATACTACCTCTTCAGTCTTATTCTCTTCACATATGCAGTGACAGAGTATGCTTGGAGCATATATCCTACCCAGCAACACGCTGCTGGCTTGGCTCTCAGATTCATATTTCTTGCCAAAGCAATGTCACTCGCTCTCCAGGCCATACAAATCCGCTATGGACTACCTCATAAAAGCACCTTGTATCGGCAGTTTTTGACAAGTGAGGTTTCACGGATCAATTACTATGGGTACAGACTTTACCGTGCTCTACCTTTCCTGTATGAACTGAGATGTGTACTAGACTGGTCCTGCACAGCCACATCACTGACAATGTATGACTGGCTCAAGGTATGTGGTTTCATCCCATGCTGTTATCTTAGAACCCTTGTTATGATTATGGATTATTCAAGTTTAGTCTGAACGTACTGCCAAGGACTTAAGTTCTGTTCGTTTGCAGTTGGAAGACGTAAATGCGAGTTTGTACCTTGTCAAATGCGATACAGTTTTAAATCGAGCTAGACACAAACATGGGGAGAGGCAAACAAAAATGACTAAATGCTGCAACGGGATTTGTCTGTTCTTCATCTTGTTATGCGTTATTTGGGCTCCTATGCTGGTAAGAGTTGCCTTACAACACATAAGTTTTATACTGGTTTTGTAGAAAAGAAAAAGAACATATCATCTGGAACCTGTATATACGTTCTTGGGATGAATTGTACTCCTGACGCATAGATGCTTATAAGTAAGAAAAAAAAAAAACAATGTGATGGCTTAAACCAATAATTGTCTGTGATTTCTTGCAAGTTGGGTATTTGGCGAGTCATTTGTTTGTTGGTAACGGCTTTCTCCTCGCAGATGTATAGCAGTGGTAACCCAACAAACATTGCCAACCCGATAAAAGATGCGAGCGTTCAGATTGATATAAAAACAGTTGGTGGAAAGCTTACATTGTACCAAACAACCCTGTGCGAGAGAATCTCAGGAGAGAACATTGATCTCGGGCTAGATCTCGGGTCCCAGAGCTTCTTGCCAACATACAACAAAAATGACATTCAGCTGATATGCTGCCAAGCTGATGCAAGCGTATTATGGCTTGTCCCTGACACAGTTGTGACCAGATTCATTAAAACCCTTGACTGGGACACAGATATGGACATGACCTTTTCCTGGGTTCTTAACAGAGACCGACCCAAAGGGAAGGAGACTGTAAAGTATGAAAGAAGTGTGGACCCTCAGGACCTTCCAAAACGCTCTGATGTCCAAATGGTTCTCAACGGCTCAATGGATGGATTTAGAGTGCATAACTTGTACCCAAAGTTTTTCCGTGTTACTGGTTCTGGTGATGTCAGGTCTTTCGAGGACCAGGTAAATATTTCTGGGCGCAAGAAGCTAAGATTTAATTTTTGCCAGACAAGACAGGTGTTTTCCTGTGTCAGATTATACATCCCTGAAAATATTGTTGTTGGTACAGAAGGATGAAGTGAGTGCAGACATACTCATGAACCATGCAGATTTCAAGTGGTGGTGGTCATTCCATAATCTTAAAGCGTCTGAAAATATCAGCGCTTGCGAGGGTATGGATGGACCAGTTGCCATCATAATGTCTGAGGAGACACCCCCGCGTAAGTTGCTCGAGACTCATCATGTTCTGTTGTTGTTATTACTATTATTAACAGGTAGCTGAAATAATGAATTATGCAGAGGGGTTTCTGGGTGACACGCTCAGCAAATTCAGTATATGGGGACTCTACATAACATTTGTACTAGCAGTGGGGCGTTTCATCAGGCTTCAATGCTCTGACCTGCGTATGAGAATACCTTACGAGAACCTGCCTTCGTGTGACAGGTGACATCCGCAGTCTGCAAAATGCTTGAAAGAAAGAGTTTTGCCTTCTTTTGCATTTCATAATGCTCCTCGTTATTTGTTGTTGAATGTAGATTAATAGCAATATGTGAGGACTTATACGCGGCGAGAGCAGAGGGTGAACTTGGAGTTGAAGAAGTTCTTTACTGGACGCTTGTGAAGATCTATAGATCCCCACACATGCTGCTTGAGTATACAAAACTAGACTATGATGCATAGTGTCCCAACCACACTTGTCACGTTTGTACATGCTGAGTTGATTTTTCTTTAAATATTTTGTTATATATAAGAATAATTTCATCTATGAGTATATAACAGGAGCCAGCGAGTTGTGACGTATAATGAAAAGATAAATAAACGTCGTTCTTCACTAGATAATAAAAATTAGTCAAGAGTCATAGAGATGATGGGTTCAAAAAGCATATTATACAACGTCAGAATAAGTCCAACCTAAACCCTAAAAAACTTAACCAGCTAGAGCCTAGAAGATGCAACTTCAACAGCATTAGGACCTTTTTATTTATTTATTTAGCTTGGAGACTCAGTAAGCGCTTTGTAGCTCAATCAATCGGTAGTCCATCCTTGGATCGCTTGGGGGTCCTCCCAGACATACCACAAGGGATAGTGTCTTCCATCACCTTTGGGACTGTAAAATTAAAATCTCCAAGCGGAGCGTTCTTGTAATCCTGATTGGCATCGATGAAGGCTGCTATTTCATTGCGAGTCCTCAGCTTCTTCCCAGTGGGAGTTATGTAGTATGCATCCATTTTCGAGTAGTCCTTTCTCAGAACTAAGCTCCTCTTGAACCCTCTTGGTGTCTTCGGCAAGCCAGGCTTGTCAATGACCCATGTTCTGCTTGAATCATATTCCAGGTCTCCAGCATCTCGACAGGAGATACCTTCTTTCTTCTCGCATGCAAACGGGTTCTCTAGTATTTTACTTCTGATCTCCTCGTACAGTTCTTGAGTATCAATCTTTCTCCATTTCAGGCACTTTTCACACTGTGCAGCATAGATATCGATCGACCTCCCTGGAGTTACGGCTTTTTGCTGCACAATACAAATATGGAATCTCGTTTAAAAGAAGAATCGTTACTCACATACACAAGCTACTTGGATAAATAGAATCAGAAAATAACCATACTACAACAAATCCAATCCCCAAAAAAAATAAAAATCTTGAATTAGGTTGATCACACAGCTCTTTTTAATCTGTATTCTTCTAAAATACAGATGTAACCACCAAATAGACAGCAGTATCACAGGATCAAATATTTTTGACAAGCATCTTCTAAAATGAGAATTTTAATGAACATATAACGAAGTTACAATAAATAAAAAACTCATAAGCCATGAGAATGCTGTTATAAGTAAGAAAATCATTTCACAACAACGCATCACATTAGTTAGATAAAGAGGGTTTGAAGCATAATTCCCCACGACGAATAATTTATCTGCTAACCGTTGGATTTAGTAAAATTGCAGTTCATCGGACGATTGATGAGCTTATTCAGAAAAGCCCATGATAACAACATCTTATCTTAGGCTTATATAGAAGGGATATTATGCGACAGAAATCAAACTTCTAGGATGAATTGGTCGAATAAGGAATGAAAAAGCTTCCATGTTTAGAAAGAAAAAATAAAAATAAAAGATGCGAACAGAGGCGAGATTACCTAAATGGGACACCGCAGAAGAGTAGAGTTAGAACAGACATGTCTAAATTAAAATCAAGAAAAGAAATTGGGTGCGTCGAACGGGTTCTCACCTAGATAAACTATAGTTCCTAGCTTATAACTTTCAGTTTTGCTATTGACATTATAAAGATAAAAGAGGACAAATGTCGATTACACATAGTAAGCCTATTATAACAGCCATCCAGAGATACCATATACCTATTCCATCAGCATGAAATAACAATAAGAAGATAAAGTCTGGTGCCACACCAAGCATTGAACACGAACCATGAACCACCTATCTGCTTTCTAAAAGATTCCAGTTTCAAAACCGATTTGCTCCATTCATATTGTAAAGCCTGATGAATAAGTAGCTTATGTCTAAGTGGTATCAAGATGGCTCTAGAAAAAAAACATATAACATGAGTAACCAAAACACTTATGAGAGTACAAGAGATAATCCATTTACAGAAAACTTGAACTTAGGTTAATCACACAGCTCAGATTATTTTTTAACAAGAGGAGAAAAATTGCCTACAGAACACAAGGTTACACAATACTTCAAAAAAATGGCATACGAAAGATTTATGCTTCTAAATACAGTTGGAACCATGGAATAGATAGTAATAAATATAAGAATCAAAGAAAAGTCTGACGAAGTCGCCAACAAAACTGCCCAAGGCAAAGGGATGCTGAAACGGAAGAGAATCATTCCACAACATAGCATCACATGAATTAGATAAAGATGGGACGAGTAAGTAAATACAGGTTCCATGTTCAGGAAGAAAAAAAGAAAGAAAAGAATGGCAGCAGAGGCAAGTATACCTAAACGGGACACCAGAAAAGAAAGATAATGAGAAGAGGCAAGTGTAAAAGCAAGTTGAAGAAAACCAAACAGGAGCGTTGTTAACGCAGACAAACACACCTACTAGTAGTTATACAAGAATTGGTAGCTTATAAGAAACTGATATAGTCTCTATTGACATGATGAAACAAAAAAGAAGGTATTGATGTCAGATGATTACACGACACACACACACGCGTAGTGTAAGGGCACAACCAAACAATAAACAAGAAGTAGTCTAAATCCATGAACAAGCATAGAGTGACCAAGCGTCAAGAGCTCAATGATCTATCGTCTGTGGTGGCTAAAATTAAAATTAGGCAACGTATTTCTCCAAATCTGGTTGGTTGGGTGACAAGACAATCGAAACAAGGACAAATGTGCAACTACGAAATGAGGAAGAAGAAGAAAACATGGAAAAGAGGGAAAAGCATAGAACGATGATACGTGTGAGCTCGAAAGAGAGAAGCTAACGAAAATTGAATGTGTAGTAAGCAAAGAGTGAAGAGCCGAATAGTAAAAGGTTGGGTTACCTTGGGCGGTGATTTCTCGGTCTGCTCGTCCATCTCACTTCCCTCTCTATGATTTGATTTGATGGATTTATTCAATTCAAAGCTGAGCTGAGATTTTTCTCGGATCTTTCTTTCGTGAGGAGAGAGAGAGAGAGAGAGAGAGAGAGAGGATTCCTTGTTTTGTTTTTGTTTTTCTTTTTTTCTTCTCTTTTTCCTTCGCGACCGAGACGTTCGTTAGTGGACTGGATATTCCTTCATCGTGTTTTTAATTCGCAGGGGCCTAAAATAAGCTACAGCCCATCACATTTGTTTTTTTTGGGTTTGCTTCCTATCCAATTTGAAGTACATTATTATTGAACGAAAACGAACGAACCACCACCAAATACAAATAGAGAAGGAAAGGAATTTGAAGGATGCTACAAACAATAGTTACTAGCACTGTATATATTCTTATCGCAAAACGACGAGGGAGTAATGCCGTTTGGGGAGGATGGAAATGGAACACAGCATGCAGTTTTTGGCACCTTTTGTGTTAACTGAACATCTCTCCAGCTAAGACAGATTAGACTTTTAAACGTCCCCTCAACTTCCCTTTTTCTTTCTTTCCATATTTATATATATATATATACAAAGAAGTTACAAAACAAACAATCAACACTTCACCTAACTCGCAACGCTCTCTATTCCTTCCTTGTTCTTTTCTTTTTGACCTTTTTTTTTCTTACCTTTCTCAATTATTCAGTCTTCATATTTAATTCCATAAAACCTAGGCTTCCTGGAGACATCAATTCCCTTAATAAGGTGAAAAAATTAGAAATTCTCTCCCTAGTGGTAATCTAAAATACAGAGTGGTTGGTTGGTCCACAACTGCTTGAAATTGATACAAACCCGATAGATAGTCTTACTGATCTTATTCTTCTTTCGATGTCAAATGGGCCGGGCCCACGGCTACCATCCCATGCAAGCTTGGAAATTTAATTGAGGAAAGCTACAAAGGCAAAATTTAATTGAGGTTATCCTCTATCTATTATATCTCCCACTAGCTGTTATGAAATCAATCTGAGTCATTTCGGGGGATGTTATTTTCCTTTTCGTTATCTCTCATTTCTTCCTTTATAACCTTTCTAGTGGTTTTATTATATCCGTAGATAGTAACCTCGATTATTGCTTAAGCTCGATTTTATTTGTATTTTAAAAAAGAAATAAAAATACAAAAAGAAAAGGAGTCTGAAACCAAATGATTGGCGTTTTATATAGACTAGTACACATAAAGAAACACAGACATAAATAGGAGGTGGAGGAGAAGGGGTTGATCCATCACTTGATAAGACCAATTTCCAAGAAGAAGCTCCTTTTCCAAATCTCTCTCAAAAGAAAAAAATCCAAAACCTTCTTCTTCTTCTTCTTCTCTTTCCTTTCTCTCAAAGTATTTTTCACCTAATTAACTTAATATATGCGACACCGCCCATTTAATTTCAAGAATGATGTTGAACCTCATTAGTTTCCTCCGCCGGCGTCTCCGCCGTGCCCGGAAGGCGAGAATCCCCGTCGACTACCGCGGCTCCGGTGATGAGTCGACTGGCGGGTATTCTTCGGCAGCCGCCATTCACCCGAACCCGGAGAAAGCCATCAGAGTGGCCAGCTTCAACGCTGCTATGTTCTCCATGGCTCCCGCCGTCCCCGGCAACATGACTGAATTTACGGGTTTGCCACTCCGGTCCAAGTCAACCGTTGACCGTCCCAGGAGCATCCTCAAGCAGTCTCCTCTTCATGGCCACATGAACAAGAAGGCCTCCTCTGCTCCTCCTCCTCCTGCAAGACAACAGACGACCAGCTTTGCCAAATCCAGGCTAAGGGTCTCCATCAATCTCCCCGACAACGAGATTAGCCGCCAGCTCAGTTTCCGGGAGGATCCTCCACCACAACACTCGCCGCTCAGGCCAGCTCTCTCTTTCTCCGGCGGCGGTCTCCGGAGCACGAGAACGGTCTTGGATGTGCTGAGGGAACTAGACGCTGACGTGCTGGCTCTTCAGGACGTCAAGGCCGACGAGGCTGACCAAATGCGACCGCTCTCCGATCTGGCGGCGGCTCTCGGCATGTCTTACGTCTTCGCCGAGAGCTGGGCTCCGGAGTACGGCAACGCCATTCTCTCTAAGTGGCCCATCAAAAGCTCCAACGTTCAGAAGATTTTCGACCCCACTGATTTCAGGTAATTAGTCACTGATTATGACTCCAAACTACTCTGTTTTCGCTATTTCTTTTTTTTTTAATGGTTTCTTCCTCCTATTCGTTTTATTAAGTTAATAATAATAATAATAATAGATGGATTCTTGTGCGGCGACTTTGTACTAATTAATAAAAACCTAGTCATGGTCTTCTCGTGAGGAGCATCAATGTGTGCCATATATGTACAAACACATATATATGTACAAACATGTATATACACAAAATGCACACTTTGAGTTTTCCTGTGAAGAACTCAGAGAACAGCTGTATATTCTCAAGGACAGCTTCAATTGTCAATATGCTTTTAATTTGTCTGAATAAATATTATCCCATCGGGTTCTTGTGAAAGATATCGTGATTTTCTTTCTTTTTTCTTTATTTGCTACCAAATTTTTTTTTTTTTTGATAAACATTTGCTACCAAATTTTAAAATAACTAAATGCTTTTTTTTTGTAAAATTCAAAATGGTGGCAGACATAGAAAAAGGTGATGATGGTATTATACTATTATTTATCGTGTGTATTATTATTGTAAGCATGTACAAAGAAAAAGACACCGATCGAGCCTGTAATAATATACCGCAATGTTTTGACTCTTGAGTAGGTGGGTTTTGTGTTAGGAAATATATATTAATTTGATGATTAAAAAAAGAGAGAGTGTGTCAATTTAAGGGTTTTCTAATATAATATATCTCTATTGATGATGATAGGAATGTGCTGAAGGCGACCATAGAAGTTCCGGGGAGCGGGGAAGTGGAGTTTCACTGCACTCATCTGGATCACTTGGACGAGAATTGGAGAATGAAGCAAGTCGATGCAATTATCCAATCCACCAACGTTCCACACATACTCGCTGGCGCTCTTAATTCCCTCGACGAATCCGATTACTCTCCCGAGCGATGGACCGACATCGTCAAGGTACGTATTACATGCATGATGCATGGAATGTGTAAATAAACAGATACAAGTCATGTCATCAATATCTAGCAAGTAACTATGTATGTAAAACGTTGCTCTCTCCCTCTATCTATATATAGTATTACGAAGAGATGGGTAAGCCGATACCAAAAGCACAAGTGATGAGGTTCTTAAAGAGCAAAGAATACACTGACGCTAAGGATTTCGCTGGAGAATGCGAATCCGTCGTAGTGGTCGCCAAAGGCCAGAGTAAGCAAGCACACCCACGTGACTTTATATCAAACGCTAGCTAGTCAGCTGTCTGTTCTTTCCCTTAATTTCCTGAAGGAAAATGTCGTTTAATTTATATAGCATGCATGCATGCAGGTGTCCAAGGGACATGCAAGTACGGGACACGCGTGGACTACATACTGGCTTCCTCTGATTCGCCGTACCAGTTCGTTCCGGGGTCCTATTCGGTGTTATCCTCTAAAGGAACATCGGATCATCACATTGTGAAGGTCGATGTTGTAAAAGCCAGACCAATAAACGTCGACGAGCAGCGACCAAGAAGACAGACGCAGCAGAGAGTTACAACGACTCTATATAATAACTCGTCTCTCACAAAGGCCTCGTGGAGGACGCATTACTACAAAGCGTGAACAATCTTCATACATTATTTATTCGTACTAGTAGACATATATGTATATTACCAACAACAAAAAAACAATGTTACAGGGTTTTTGGGACTGTTAATTTACACCATTAATTTGAGATATATGTATACAACGGTGGACTTATAGGTGTTGTGTGCGTTTTTAACCGTGAATTCTGATAAACTTAATTTCCCTTAGATTTCCGAGTTTTCTGTGTCTGTTTTTCATGTTAAGGAATTGTGGCTTGTTTAACCGATACGTGTATAACCGATACGTGTATAACCGATACGTGTATAACTAATGAATTTATGAGTGAAAAACACTCATTTATCTTTGTAGTACTTCTCAATATCTTTTCTTGAGAACGTCACTCATTTAAAAATGGACGGAATAGGAAACAAAAACAAATAGTCCAAGTTGAGTAAGATCTGACTTTGAAGCTATATATAAAGTCCTTACTCCTAATTAGCCATAACTATGACTCGGGTTTCAATACGGCCTCGAGATAAGATAACTTCATTCCCAAGCCATAATTCTAACATTAATTTTTATTTCCTTTTTAGCTTAACCGCAACATGATTTTGTTTGTTAGATTTTCAATATACATAGCTAGCCTATTGTGTTTAACAACTGAAAGATTCTCAACCAATAGATTGTGTAGTTTTGGTGCAAAAACTAAAATATTGCGAGACGTAAAAGAACACTTAACTTTCGAGATCATGCAGAGTGGCCTTTGTTAAGCCTACGCTGGGCACTTATTTTCTTTTGCTCAGGGGCTATGCAAACTCGAGAAACCTGCACCCAATGATGGAGGAGATGTGTCAAGCTGTGAGTCGACAAGAAGGAATATAAGTTAGTCGATCCCTCATCCCTCCCATGGTACCATAGGAGTTCGGACCAGGATAGGATGAGGAAAATAAAGACTTTATCCAAGCCTATTCCCAAGAATAGTTACAAAGCCTTGATTTTATATATGTGCTCTTTAATCAAGAGGAGGATGATCTCATAGAGCAGGCTATTACGAAAGGACTCCTTATAGAGACAGATGGTATAATGAGATGATCAATGTGGCAAACTACTTCAGGTGTTGATAACTTCTCATATTCAACTTGAGAATTTGGGTACATAGCACAAAGAACCAAGAAGAGTCCATGCGGTAGAAATAATTATATGCAACTAGACACGGAGAAGTGTGTATGGAATGGCCGCAAGGAAAAGGAAAAAGAAAAAGAGATTAAGAAGAAATTACATCAAGAGAAGAGGTCGATTAAGAAGACTAAACGAAAATCTAAACATCAAGAAAGTGTCGACTCAAATGGGGTGTAATCAACCAAATATTTCGAGTGATTAAATTTAGGTTTCAATAATTAAGTCTTACATAATATATTTGATGGTTGTGCATGGATGAATTTAAGGAAGTTGTTATGATTTGTTAATACAAAACTATAATTGGCATTGTCACCTAGATTTTAGAATCATAATATTTAGATTATTATATTTTTAACTAAAAAACTCTTCTAGAACATCTTCAAGTCAGTGAAAAACCAGTGTTTAGAATATTTTCAATTCTTATAAAACGGTTTATACCGCCTTTTCCAATTCCAAACACCAAATCGCGAAACATTTTCTAGAACCACCAGACCAGATTACAGTAATTTGGAAATCCTTCATTAGATTGAAAAGAGGAACCCAATTGTTCTTAGTTAATACACTTATTCTAAAAAAAACTAACACACTAGCTAAGTTTTTCACTTCTTCTCTTTTAACCTTGTCAAACAATATACATACACATGGGATAAGTGAAGAAACTGATTATTACATCATTAAACGAAATAATAACAAGGCAGGTGTGAACACTCTGAATTACATCAAAAATCGAAGTACCCCCTTTGTATTTGTAAAGTTAGTCACAAGAAAGGGGCCGTATGAATTAAAAGACTATTGTCTCTCACTCACATAATTAGAAAGAAAGTAATATTTACAAGTCTTTAACGTTTGGGCCAATTTACCAGACTATTGGGTTTTCTTACATTAAAACGGGCTTTACAGATATATAGGCTTCACACATTTGGGCCAATTATTTTTCGATAGTTTCAATTAATACCATTTGTTAAAAAAGAGAAAATATTTTTTTTTGTCAGAAACGTCGGTCCATCCTCCTCCTTGAGAGTAGTCAGTCATTGCTTAAACCCTAAACCAGCCAGCCTCCATCCCTTGCTTGCTCACTCGGCTTTCAAGCTCTCACTGCAGCAATGGAGGAAGAGCTTCGTATTCGACTCAATGATCATCAGGTTTCAAAGATTTTCCCTGTGAAACCAAAATCAACGGCAAAATCTGTATCTAATTCGGAGACTCCCGATTCCCGATACTGGTCCTCCTTCAAAGCTCAATCCATACCTAATCTCGTCTCCTCCGTCTCCGCCTTGGCTTTCTCTCCGGTCCACCCTCACTCCTTGGCCGTCGCGCACTCCACCACCGTCTCCCTCTTTTCCTCGCAGACGCTCTCCGCCACCCGCCGTTTCTCGTTCCGAGATGTTGTGTCGTCCGTATGTTTCCGTTGCGACGGCGCTCTTCTCGCGGCATCCGATCTCTCCGGTCTGGTGCAGGTATTCGACGTCAAGGAACGAATGGCTCTCCGTAGTCTCCGGTCACACACGGCACCCGCGAGATTCGTCAAGTATCCGTTTCAGGACAAGCTTCACTTGGTATCCGGAGGCGACGATGCGGTGGTCAAGTACTGGGACGTGGCCGGGGCAACGGTCATCTCAGATCTGTTGGGGCACAAGGACTATGTGCGGTGCGGTGACTGCTCACCGGTGAACGATTCGATGTTCGTAACAGGATCATACGACCATACAGTAAAGGTGTGGGATGCGAGAGTGGACAAATCGAAATGCATCGCTGAGATCGACCATGGGAGTCCAGTGGAGGACGTGGTATACCTGCCGTCGGGTGGGATGATCGCAACGGCCGGTCTGAAGAGCGTCAAGGTCTGGGACTTGATCGGAGGCGGGAAGATGGTTTGCTCGATGGAGAGCCACAACAAGACTGTGACGTCTCTCTGCGTTGGGAGGATGGGATTGGATGATGAAGCAGCGGAGAATCGACTTGTGAGCGTTGCTTTGGACGGATACATGAAAGTGTTTGATTACGGGAGAGCAAAGGTGACTTACTCCATGAGGTTTCCTGCTCCTCTCATGTCCGTCGGGCTCTCTCCCGATTGTTCCACTCGGGTCATCGGAGGGTCTAACGGCGTGGTGTTTGCCGGAAAGAAGAAGCTGAAAGACGCGGGGGAGAAGAAGAAGACGACTAGTATGAGCCTCTGGAGTGTCAGGAGCGAACTGGAGGAGAGTAGGAGAAGGGCTCTGAGGCCGACGTATTTCAGGTATTTCCAGAGGGGGCAGAGCGAGAAGCCGTCGAAAGAGGATTACCTGGTGAAGGAGAAGAAAGGAATGAAGCTGACAAGGCACGATAAGCTGTTGAAAAAGTTCAGGCATAAGGAGGCTCTGGTCTCGGTTTTGGAGGAGAAGAAACCGGCGAATGTGGTGGCGGTGATGGAGGAATTGGTGGCCAGGAGGAAGCTGTTGAAGTGCGTGTCGAATATGGAGGAAGGAGAGCTGGGATTGCTGCTTGCTTTCTTACAGAGGTACTGTACCGTGCAGAGGTATTCAGGATTGCTCATGGGTTTGACGAAGAAGGTTTTGGAGATGAGAGCTGATGATATTAAGGGTAAAGACGAGTTTAAAGTGCTTCTCAGGAACTTGAAGAGGGAGGTTAATCAGGAGATCAAGATTCAACAGTCTCTCCTTGAGATTCAGGGTCTTATTGCTCCTTTGATGAGAATTGCTGGGAGAAGATGATTCATCATCAATCATTTTTGTTTGCTTCAAAATGTCTTTTTTTGTTTTCAATTTATTTCTGTTTCTGTCTTGTTATAGAAGATCACATACATTTTCACGGGAATGTCTGGATCTACTACAGTATTAAACTTGTAAGCCAGAAGACAATTGAATGTAGACTTACGGTTGATTCGGGAATATAACAAGGAGCAAAGTTTTGTTTGGTTCCTTCCTTACATTACACCATTGTATTAAAGAGAAACACAATTACACATGTAATAATAAATTTGATAAGATTAAGATTGTCACGCGTAAGTAAGTAAAGACTCTCGAAGGTCAACGTCCCTTGGACCGTTCTCTGTTATCTCTTAGTGCTCTCCGTCTTGCAGCCGATCTAATTGTCTCGATAAGAGGAGCATCCTCGTCTACATAATCTCCTTTATCTTCTTTGTCCGAGCCGCCACTCATGGATTCATCCTCATCGCTTCCGCTTTGCTCATCAAACAGTCTCTTTCGCTCTGTTTCAGGACGTTTTCTTGGCCGTCCCCTGCGTCTTACAGCTGCTCTTTCCTTGTCGTCTGTGAGAAATTCCCAAAACAACAGAGCCTCGTCATAACAACTCATTCGACATTATTCTAATTTTTAAAGTTTTGCAAACAATCAGATGTGCGGGTGCACCTTGTAAATCCTCGTTTTTCGAGCATTTCTCCTCCAAGGTTTCTAAGAAGGTGAAGCAAGGACGCCATCCGCTGGGGTCTTCATCTGTATTAACATGCACTATACGCCTCTGAACCTCACTCTTACTGCTCAGCAACCAAACAAGAGCAACAGATTAAGCTTATTATTCTATTAGCACAGAGTTTCCTAATATACTAGCTCAGAGAATTGTCAGTCTTCTTACATGTCCATGATGTCCGCCACTGAGAGTCTTGTTGCAAATGGAAGGATAGCAACTTCCAGAAACAACAGTTGCTTTGGGGCATCCCTAAAAGCAAACTCGACACCTTCCTTTACCACGCTTAAAATCTCCAATCTGTGTTTGTTGCGAGCAGCACCGATATACATTCCTGAAAGCCGACCGGCAAGCTCCCGGCACTCTTCAAGAAATTTATCTGCTCTGGATTCTCCACTGTCACAGGAAAGTTCACTTGCATACCGTTGATAGCACTGTCCAATTATTTATTTAGTGTCACCAGTTTTCATGGACTACCAATCTTTGTATTTTCTGAAAATAATCGTCGCCTGTTTTCATAATCAAGGAAAAAAGCTTACCCTTTTCAAGGATTCCAAATAGATACTAGAGATGTCATCTTCTGTTTTCCGTAAGTATGTTATAAGATTCTTAATGATTTCTGTGACGCTAGGTCCATGCATAACAAGATGAGATATTATCTCTGGTCCTAGGTAGTCCTGCGATAGAAAAATATCCATAAGTTTTGTTTAGAAATGTGACCATCAAATCACTACATTGGCTGATGTTTCATAACTATGATATTTACAGCAGCATTATCAAGGCACTTGGTGAGTACCTTCGGCAAAACATCACTAGTAACCAACTTGCAGGCAGCAATGGCTGCGACATCTCTGCTTGTCTCTTCGACATACTCCTTACTTTCATCCTCCTCATCTGTCTCATCTGTGTCAAATTCCAGTGAAAGTAAATACGCAATTTGGAAAATCAAGAAATGATAGGCTTCCTAGAAAAGCAAATAATAGTCACCTGAGGTGTTAAAAATTCCTTCACAGAGTTTCCAATATTTCTTGAGCATAACATTATCAGGACAATATCCTAACATTTCAAGTTTAGTAGAGTCAAAATTTGACTTTCTAAAAAGACACCACTCTTCCGCAAGTAAAGCACAAATCTGCAATAATGAAGTTTTCATACGTTAGGCGAAAAGTGACTCTTTGGTAGATAACAAAAGCACATATACTGAAGGAAATGTGTCTGTTAACTTAGAATGTCAAAGAGTCTTACCCTGAGAGATAGCTGATTACCATACTTCCTCGGTTCCTCAACTCCATTCAGGAAGTACGAAACCTCCTCAAACAGGATATCACGTTTTAATATAAGGGAAGATAAGGAAGCTTCGGAGACAGTTTCACAATTTATGATGGAGTGCAGCGACCACGCCACATACATATGCATATTCAGAAGCAGGAAACAGATAACCTAAGCAACCATGAGCAACTATTCCATTAAGATGTGAGGGACAGACAAAAGATAGTAAGAGCTCTAAACGAATTCCTTGAGCACCTCTTCGTCCAAATTTCTGAAATTGTGGAGTGTCAAAGCAAACTCATCGTACATGCTCTCAACAAGAACAGGCTTTAACAATTGAAGCTCATACAACCTTTTTAAATTTACAAGGAGGGAATATTCATCATTTCCATCCTGCACAAAAAACGGATGTAAAGTTTGCATCCGTAAAGAAGACTATGAAGATAACTGGCAAAGGAAGTAGAGCATACCTTGACCTCTTTTATTGCAGAAGTAAGTTTATCTAAAAGATTATCTTCAAGATCTTTAAGTTTCCCACGGGAAAAATCTTGAAGCTCCCCTTTACTTTCTGACGCACAAAATGTTATAGCCTTAACGCAAGATCTTAGTGCTTCCTTCTCCCCGTTCATGAAAAACGCATCCTTAATGAATCGGACGGCAGCCTTAAAATTCTGAAACAGAGGAAAAAATGTAACTTTCACCGAATAAGGTAAATAACATGAAAAGGCATCCTATATAAAACAAAATGCTTTTAACCACCTGCTCCTGTCGTTTAAGAGAATAAAGCTCAAGTTTCATAAACATAATAATCTCGACCAAAGATGACACTTTCGCTTTGTCAGCCATAAATTTGCGTAGAAGCTGTGGATAATTCTTCATCATAGCAACCGTTATGTCTTTCCTGTTGTTTTCAAACATTTCCTGTTATTCACAGCATTCAAACATCAACGTCATATTTTTCAAAATTGAGAAGGAAACGAGTGTATAAAAACACTAAAATGCCTAATAAGAACATTCAAATGTATTTTGTTCCTCCTAGTATAGTTCAGGAAAAAACAAATCGATGATTGATATATGGCCTCATGCTTTTGCGATGTCAGATCATCGGCACAATAGGAAGCTCAGAAAGAGCAAAGACAGAATCTTACTCGCTGAGCTTTACTGTGATACTGCTTCCGATTATCAGTTGAAGGGATAATCTTCTCCCCGACAGCCTTTCTGACTGACGCAAACAGAAGTCTGATCAAATTTGTTGAGTCCTCGTCATTTGTAGAGCCAGTCCGAGGATTCTGATCCAAAAGCATAGAGATAATACACTTCCAGTCCTGCAAGAAAAGCAGCATCATGAAGATGATATAAGAACTGTAGTAAGTACACATCACAACTACATAATGGATGTGCAACAGTGAAAAAGTAATTTCTCTTAGACCTACCTTCATGGCCTTCATGTACTCCCAAACATCATCAATTACATAAACGCTCAAAATTGGATCTGTGGAGAACTCCCGTAATATTTGTAACATTCTGAATATATGAATCTCAGAGGAAGAATCTTCATGACCTGAAAAAAGGATGTGACAGCTCTGAACCAACTTCTCAGAATAAATCAATAAATATTTCTAGTGCCCAGGATTTGGCTAATCTCGAGGGATAACCTGAAAGACCGGATGGAGAACTGTTGAATTTTTGTGCGATCAAGTGGTCATACACTAACTCTCCTATAGCACGTCTGATTTCTTGAGGTTGATCAATAAGCAAATCGTACAAAGGGCCTAGGGCATCATCAGGTATCAGCTGGTGTCTGCAGGACCAAAAAAAGCTTTAGTTTTAACGCAGGGTATCCCAACATATTTGTGGTGGAAGCTTTGGTTGATAAAAATTATCTCGAGGGCTAATACCTTAGCAGCTGCTTCACAAGCCCTATAGCACATACAGCTGCAGGCATATCAACATCATCAGCCATCTCGATCATTCGATTGGAAAATCTCTCAGTGAACAGACCAAGAGTGGGGACGTTTTCATCCATCTCATAAAGTTTTCGCAATGCCAAGAGAGAAGCTTTCCTCACTCCAGCAGCCTCCGGATAATTGAATACCAGAGAGAATATCAGTGACTAATACGAATGTATATCTTAATAATCTTGAAGAGAGAATTAAGGAGCTTACTTTGTCATTAAGCGTCCATCCAAGATACTTTAAGTACAGATCTTGTAAGAAAAGTGAAGGATAAGACGAAATCCAAATGCCCAGAGACTGAATGCATGACATCCTAATCTCAGGGTCAATGTCTCGATATCGGTGTACAAACAACCTTCAGAATAAGATGTAATAATGATTCCGGTCAGCAACATTCACATTAAAAGCAAGAAAAAGAATTATACTTTTATTTTCTTCTCTTTTGTGTGGGGGTTGTAATACTTAGCTGACGGTATAATCATTATCCAAACTTACCCAGTGAATATTTTCCGCATCATGTCCTCCAATGTAGTTATCTGTTCATGAGTAACAGACAGCCTTTTGTTGAGGGACTCCACACGAGGCCCGTCAGCTCTTTTCTTGCTTTCAGCATTCAATTGCCTTTGGGTAGTTTCTCGCTGGGAACCGAGTGTGTTTGCTACAGAAATGAAAGATGTGACTAGTTGGAGGCCCATTAGCGTGGCAGTTTGGCGGTAAACTCTTGGCGGAGTGCTGCAATAGAGGTAGAAAATAGACAAACATGAATAGAATTCTATGTGACATATGACCGCATAAGCGTGTAATGTTTAAACACAAACCATGACAGTGCGATTATGTAGTCCATGCACTTGTCAAACAAGACTTTATCAAACAATGGTCCATTCTGACACTCGAGAATTAAATTATTCCAGAATGAAACCAGATTTTCTTTGAAGTTCCTGAGTTCCTTCTTTCTTGAAATTTGATAATCTTCAACTTCCCCCTACAGGCCAACCGCAATCGAAAGAAAATTTTGTAAAAGTTTCTAATGAAACAAAATGTAAAAAAAAAAAAAAAATCATCAAAAGAGAAAAATCCATTACGGCTCTAGCAAGATTAACAAGGGCAACGACAACATCATCAACGTCAGTCTCATCAAGCAATTCTTGCTTGATAGAGTACTTAGCACCGCAAGCCTATAAAACAGGAAAAGAAAGCAATTAAAACTGGAGGTAC